CTAGACCAAGAAGCAAAATTGCCACGAAGGTACACGCACGAGAACATAGCATCGGTGTGTACAGAATGCCGTGTATTATCCCACCCTGTACCACCTGTTTGAGTTAGCATTAGGCTGTGGTCGTTTACGAGACCACAAACACATAACCGCGCAGTCATGCAAGCATCCACCATTCAAAATACTGAGACTTGATTATTTAGTACGTTTATTTAGTACGTATTTTTATTTGTGGGTGAAAAACGTGTTAAGACAAAAAAAGTTGCGTTAAATGTTTTTTTTTGTACAGTAGTTTATTTTTCTAGGACATAGTGCCAATATGATAGACCTTTTGGAAAAAAAATGGGTTAGAGGGGGTGTCAGCACATTTTTTTACCAATAGCTAAAAGGTATGGCATGATTTTATGGTAAAAAAATGAGTCATTGTTTGTTTGCAATCTTTAGCACATGTCAATGCAGTTAGCACGCTTTTCCAAGACAATTTCTTTTTGGTAGCAAATAAATGGGATAAATAAAACCAAGCCTAAATACTGCATGAATCTACAATGATAGACATCACGAAAAGCAACGTTTCTACCGACAGACATACACCGTATATAGAAGCACCATACTTTAGCAACACTTCGTGAACTGGAGCGGGCATTGCTATCCAAACTGACCACCATATTTATGTTAGTCCCCTGTGTAAACATCACCTTGTCGACGTGTTCTATAGCAACTAGATCAACCCAGATTGCCATGTTCATTTTGATATCTTACTCAAACATATTTCAGTAACAGTGCTGTGTTACGCAATGCACGCTCTTGTTCCTACACCACAGCGGTATTTATCGAACTGTTTTCATAAAAGACGACCCAAAGCGGTAAGATGTTTCAATATCTGTGTCTTATTGTAGGGAAAATATAGGCATTTCGAAGCCCTGCGAATGTCATAATTTGTCAACATGGCCTTAAACAGATTCTAGTTATTTGGCATGTGGACATGCTAAGGTTGAGACGGCCAAATGCTCTGTACTTGCCAACATGTTCTAGGTATCCTAATTTTGTTTTACTGCTCATGAAGACATATTCATACTGATACATGGCCAAGGACCATATTGCTGCATTTCTTTACTCTCCAAGCAGAGGTTGAAGGGGAAGATTGTGACCTTTTTCTATGCCCCGTTTTTTTCTGACAGCCGGCCCATATACTGTCGGCCGGCTGGATACTGTCCGCGTGTTGGATACTATCTTTTTTGGCCACCAAAAGATCTGCTTGGAGATTAGCATTTCTTAACATAATTTTATTGTTGTTTGCTTGTAGCATTGCAGTGTTCGAAATACCTGTCTGCAGTCTGCAATCTGCAGATAGATTTCAAAGATTGCAGAAGAAAAATTTCTACAATCTGCAATTTTGCAGCAGGAAAAATTGGCACTTGGGATTTGGCGCTCTTGGCCCCAAGGACAGACAACACTTAAGTTCCTGTTCTGAAACAACAGGAGCTTTTTCACTAATTTACATCAACCTCGTCTTGACTTGTCTATCTTTTGTTTCCTTTTGGACTTCCAAAAATTTTTCTTCACTAATTTGCATATCAATTAATAGTTCATGCTTATAAACCTGCAAGATTGTAGTATAGAGGCTTGTGTATTTGCAGAAAGTATTTCCAAATTGCAGAACAAAATTTTGACTCTTCTGCAATATTGCAGAACACTGAAAAAAAGTATTTTGAACACTGCATTGATACATGTATGTAGACGATTTTGCTCTATTACTGATCTATCACGCTTCTAACACGAACAGTTATTTTTTTTCTACATCGGCTTTGTAACGGATGTAAGGAAAGCTAGCCACAGAACTAAGTCATTTTTCAGAGAGAAGACTTGACTACCGTCCAAGCTCTAAATGAGTGGTTCTATGTACTGCTTGGTCAAATCGCGTAATTACCTAGCCTCTACCAGGCTTGAGGGCACGGCTGGATTATAGTAGAAATCGGCCCGAAATAGAGAGATAACACGCCGAGGGAGTTTAGCCATCCAGTTTACAGTTTGCCGGCCCACAAGGCTAAACTCCCTCGGCGTGTTATCTCTCTATTTCGGGCCGATTTCTACTATAATCCAGCCGTGCCCTCAAGCCTGGTAGAGGCTAGTAATTACCCGAGAGTAGACTGGTTCCACACAGCGCGCACTGACAGAGAACATGTGTGCTGCACGCTGAACAACGTCAGCCACCAGATTAATTAAATCCAACAGTTAAACCCGAAATGTCAC